ACTTGTAGGATTCTCTGACAACATTCAGGAAGTATCTGCATCTGCACACATGGAAGATCTGGAGAGTTGTTTACTGTGCTACAAATGTGTGGGAAAAGGGAAATGCTGGTGACTTTTCAAGCCTTTTCTGATTAAAAAATCAGATTTAAGGACACTGTATTCTGAAAGAGGTAAGTATATGTAAATAAATAAACATTTTTTTTCTCAGTTATGTCTGAGAACATTATGTCCCTATAATTACATTTAGCTGGGGAAAAACAACCTCATCCATGCCTATGCAGGGTAGCTTGCAGCAATCTGTCAGCTTTTCACAGCATAGTAACCCACTGATCGCTGCCTTAGCCCTTCAATAAATACTGTAGGCCGTGTGCGTGTGCTTTTACAGAACTTCACAGGTTTCCATGGATACGTGAATTTTAGTGCTAAAGCACATTTACTATCGCTTTTCTTGTCACCGAGAGTCTTGTAAACATGTGTGCTTTAAGATTTTGCACAGAAATTTAGCATTTTATGGAAGACAAGTCAGAATTACCTTTTCTAAATGCATTGTATGGTGAAGTCTTTGAAATCATTTATATTTGTGGCCCCTTTTTAGTGATGTACTTTTGCTTACTAGACCAATGAAAGACAATAAAGGCTAAATACATTGTCCATATCACTTTTGACTGGCAGGTATTTATACTATTTAAATGTTACAATTAATAAGTAAGACAACTTGCTCTGAATTCAAAATGCCAAGAGGCAAATAGGAAAAACAAAAATAGGAATATTATGTATATATTTAGCCATTTATCTTTCTAAATATAATGAAATTTAAGTGTAATTTTCAAGGAAATTTTTGTTATATCTATTGGCCAATCATAGCTTGAATTTATTCTTTCTTATACATATTAAGCTTTTATATATTTAAAAGACCTTTTCACAAATTTGTGAAGATGGCAGGCGCTGTTACTACTTTTCCAATTTTATACATTAGCTTAGGATGTTCAGATGGGTTAAGAAACATGACCCTTGTCATACAGTTAGCAAATGGTAGAACTGGGATTAGAACCCAAATTCTGACTCCTAGTTTCCATTGTCTTTTTCTTGGACAGAATGCAGGCAACTTCTTCTACAGAAGGCATACCATATCCTCCCTTACTTGCTGTAGACTGGTAGATTTCTGAGTTTCTAACTTGGGCTCCATTAACACATTATTTTGTCCATTCATTCCTTGACTGCTCCATAGACTTGGCTTAGCTTAATTACCAAGACTAGTCACTTCAAATGAACATAACCAATTAACAGTCAAAGAGACATCACCTAGCCTGGATGTGCACTACATGAGGAAACTGTAAGAACCCAGATTTTTAGTTCAAATTATTTTGACCAAAAGTGTACAAAGCAGATTGAATGTGAGGCTTGAGAGAAAAAAAAAAAAAAAATCCAATCTGAGCAAGTCAAAAAAAAGCTTTCACTTTAACAGCATAGATTACAGGGGGTGGGGTTGGAACTATTTGAATGACTATCTCAACACTTATGTACTATGCTCATGTAGCCAATAATCTGTATTATCTTAGCAAATATCTCAGTTAAGGCCACAAAATCTTTGCAAAGACTGTTTTGTGCAAGGTATTATTCACTTTGTATTTGTGGAGATCTTTTATTTTTGTTCTTTTTCAATCTGGAAAAAAATAGGGTTTTGCTTTTACAGTTCGATAAAAGAGAGAGTTTGGGTAAAGTAAGAGCCCTTGACTAAGAGGCCTGACCTCAGTCCTACGCCATGAGACTCTGAGTGCAGCGCTCTGTGTCTCAGGCCTCACAGCAACTTCCAGGATCTGAGTAGTGACAGGTTGGTTGTGGGTATCAAATTAGACAACAGATATATAAGTCCTTTGCTATTTTTAAAATAAGCACAAAATACAGGGTTGGTTTGAGGCCTCCATCTAAATCACACATTGCCAATTGATTTTAGTTTCCATGTGTTAAAAGGCAAATAATGATTTTTGTTACCTCACAGGGCTTTTTCTTGGATATGGACTTTATTCACTTAATAGCAAACATGACTAAATCATCTCCATTATGTTTATTTCAATATGTTTCAGCGCTTACAACCAAACTAGGCAGCAACAGAGCATGCCAGTCGCATTGTGCTTCATTTATAATAGCCAAAACAATGGGAGCTGGTTATTTGGTTGTAATCTAACATCTGCTGCAATCGCAGCCCTTGAGACACCAGTATTATAGCTCTAGATTCAGATAAACTTTGGGTATTACTGCCTGAGGCTAATTCTTCATTCCTTCTCAAAGGAAATTTTAATTCTGTGCTGCTCACCTATAGAGTACCACCAAGTGATCAACTCTCTCTCCAATCTATAGAAATAAGAGGAGAACTCAGGACTCTCCTGAACCACAAAGCTTTCTCTGTTTCTCGTGTAAATTCCATTCAGGCATCGAATTGAATTTGCTCTTAACCAAATGAGTTTTATCTACACCTGGCAGGAATCTAAAAAGTAAAAGTACAAGATTTATTTCATTTTAATTCTATTATGAAGCATTTAATCACAAATACCCCCAAAATGAAAAGATAATTTATCATCTTACCTTGACTGAGCAACTCTCCTCAGCTCACATTCTTGAATCCATAATGCAAAGAGGAGACTGGATGATTAAGTGTCTGATTAGAGAAAACAGATTAACCCGGCAAAAATAATAAATTTAGCTCATAAGCAGGATGGCTTTATAAATGCTTACAATAACTCTCCGGTATAAAATCATGAAGCACTTCCTACAGTGATGACTCAATTGAAATAGTTGAGAACATAAAGCAAATGCATGCTTATGGCTTTCTATCTGAAATATTAAAAGGGTATTGAAAGGCATAACTGATTCAGTTAATATCTCTAAATATATATTAAACATGGAACAAGTAAGAAAAATATTAATGCATAAAACAAAGCTACATCCACTCAGATGTTCCAGTTTTTGCTTTGACAATAATTACATTTAAACTCTAAATGCTTTCAAAATCTTTCTCTATGTTTCCAAAGATGCCAAATCCATACCTGAAGCTTCAGATCATGAAGATTCACCCTTAACCTTCATAAGAGAACCTGATTTCTTTATAAAAACAGCTGCATGTTTAGGTAGTTCTCAACCCATTGTGACAAAACATAAAATTAGTGAGCTATTTTAGCCTTGAAATCAATGGGAAAAGAATCCTTTTAGCCAAGTTTCCATTTACATCAGAGTAGGAATCTAGATTATGACTAGGTTGAAGGAGAAAGTCCTGTGCAGTGTTCCAAAAATTTCACTTAGCAGTCTGCCAAACCCTCCTTACTTAGCTGGTTAGTATTCCTGGCCTCTCTTTGGAAGCAGTGAGAAAAAGGATACTCTCCATGCCCTCGATTTATTTTTAAACTCACATGGCTAATTCCTGAGGTCTCTGCTACTTAGACTCTGTTCTGTCACATGCACCCAAGTCACCGCTGAATGAGGGACTTGAACTGTTTTCAGAGGCAGGGCAGGACATATGGGGGAGGAGGGAATGGGCTGCTGGAGAGAGTGTCGTTTTTAATGAAGGCCTCATCCTATTACCAAGAGAAGGAGTGCTCCTCCCGCGTGGCACAGGTCAATGTTGATGACTGGGTTCTTGTGTTCACCTTTGGAAAGAATTCGCAAAAAAGACACAGAGAAGCAAGACAAGTAAGTATTCTTGTCTGTCTCCAGAGAGGAGAGCAGGCAGAAACAGCCTACAGAAGCTGCTGCTTCTGTACCCAACAATTTTTGAGCTATCTTTTATTCTTAGGGGTATTGAGGACTGACTTTGGGGGTGGTCTTAGGGCTTGGTTATTGTTGTTACTCCTCCTTCACATCACATGGGGAAGTTTTAGGCCTTGTAGGGTCATACTGGCTACTGTATGGTGTATGATGAGAGTGGGAGCCTCCCCTAGGATAATTTTATGCTAATAGCATTATAATAAAGGTAAAAGGAGGTCATGGTTCTCTTAGGTCTTTAGCTATTGTTGTACGTGTTCCAGGTGGTCTCTATGCTAGTTCCTGCCTTGGTGGTTGGCTCCCCGACTGCATGCATCCTGGATAGCCAACTACTATGCTGCAGGTGTATTTGATAAGAGTCTAACAGGTAGATGTGAAGTTTCCTATAGTTAGGCCATCTTGCTTGCATACATGAATTGCACCAGCTACTGCAGACATCAAAGGGCTTGGAACTTTCCAACAGCTCCAAGTTTTCCTAGTCTAACCTGCCTACTCTTATCAATCCCATCAGGAGCCAGGCAAATTTCCCACTGGGGAAAAACAGTACCTGGAGATCTAAGGACCAGCATGTGCTTTTTTTTTTTCCCTTCTCTTTTTCCTCAAACTGAAATTGATCTGGGACAGGGGGTTGGTGACAGGGAGAGGTCCAAAGGGAGAGTTATTGTGTGTCCTCACAGCGCCTCTGGATCAGGTAGGCTCACAAACTCATTGTTTGTGTGTGTGTGGTGTGTTTGTAAACGGTGAGGTTTTTTGTTTGTTTTTGTTTTTAGGGCCTCTCCTTCCTCCCACCCTTTGCCGAATCAAAGACTAGGAGGGAGGATTTCTTGGGGCCCAGGGACCAGAATAAGTTTGGCCCTAAAGGAATTTGTGTGGCGCTAGAAGACAGCCTGCTTCCAGTGGGTGCAATGTGCATTTATTGAGTGTTTTCTAACATTTTGGACTCAACAAAACCGATTATCTTTACAGCCGCAGCGCCTTAGCACAGTACCTGGCACCATGAGAGTTTGTTGCACAGACATCCCAGTGCTGGGAGGGGGGAGTGATGGTCAAGCACGGGACTAAGCTGCGCTCCCAAGGTTGAGTTTGAGTGTATCCCTGCGCGGCGAGCGCGCTCCTCGAGGTGAGACGGCGGCCTGCGTGCGGGTGCGGAGGTGGCTGCGTAAGGACGCACGAAGGCGGTCGCCCACCGGCGGGCGGGCGCGCGCGGAGGCCTCCGGAAGACGCGGGGTCTGGCCCTAGCGACCATGCCCCGCCTCCTGGGCGGAGGGGGCCGCTCCCCGGTCGCCCGAGGCTCGGGCGTGCCCCGCGGCGTCTGGATCCCGGGCCTGGTGCGTCGTCGCCGAGCGCGGGCGTCGCAGACTCGCGACGGGGCCGGCGCGGCGCGGCGGGGCTGGGGCTGGCGCTGGCCCTGGAAGGCGGCCCTGAGCGGTCGGCTGTTGCCGCCCTGGCCTCGCCGCGGTGCGGATGGAGTCGTCCCGCGGCAGCCAGCAGGAGGGTCAGCGGCTGCCGGGCCACGGGGGACCCCGGGACCCACGCCGCGGCCGCCCGCTGCGAGAAGAGGGTCCGGGCTTCAGAGTGAGGTGTGCGGGGCCAGGAGGGAGGACCTCTAGGCGTCCAGGCAGCCGTGTCGAAGCCAACCATCCCACGGGGCGGGTTCGAATGATTCCAGAACATTCCGTCTTATTCAGCCCGCCCCCTCCCCCTTTTTTAATCAAGTGGGAGAGCTGAGTCCACACACAGGGAAAGAGGAACTGGCTTCCCGAAGTCACACAACTGTTAATGGACGGAAGTGAGACTAGAAACCCAAAGTCACACAACTGTTAATGGACGGAAGTGAGACTAGAAACCCAATCAGCGTATGGAGGCCTTTAAATTTAAACCTCCTGTCCTCCCTGAAGTGAATATGAAAAGTAACACAAGTAATTATTAGATTAGATTTTGGAAACATGGCATTCAGGACTATTAATATGACTTACGCGCTGGAAAGGCTCAGCCACGCGTGTCCTCTCTGGTTGCAAGTTCCTCGTTCCTTCATTGATTAAACGTTTGTTTGGCACTTCTCTGTGCCAGGCTCTCTGCTAGAAACGGAAGGTAGAGCGATAACGAGGAGCAGCCCTCGGAAAAGAGCACAGGAGAAAAAGCCCTCGGACGCCAGTAGCTGACGCGGCTGTAGGGAGTGGAGGGACCTTTGGGTATGATGTCTTTGGAAACTCAGATGTCATTTCTGGTGGATCGGAGAAAGACCTTAGGGAAGACGTGGCATCCAACCTGGATCTTTAAGAATGGAGTGCTTGGGGGCATTTGGAAGTGGGCGTTTTAGGTGGAAGATTGAGTGATGGCATAAAACAAAGCAAAACTGAATGTGAAGAATAACGAAGAGTTTAGTTTGCCTTGAATGTAGAGATGAATAAGGATGGCATGAGTACAGTGGGAGCAAGGTAGGAAGTGGGAAGCCTTGGAAGGATTCCAAGCAGAGCATGACAGTGCTGTGGCAGAGGATAGTTAATTTGGCCAAGGAGTGGAGCCTCCTTTGTAGAGTGAAAGTGTTGGACCAAGGATCCTGGCAGTCCTGAGGCTGTGTGAACTACAGTCTGAGAGCACATGGCATCATCTCAGTGTAGCGGGACTATGAATGAAAAATGCAGCTGGATTGGGAAAGGGTCCAAATGAAATCAAACTGTTGAACTAGGTGTATGTATCCTGTGGTGACCTGTGATCCTGTTTCAGACTTCCAGTAGCATTCTTGGAAGTGGTTGGTGAAAAAATGCTCTTAGTATTCCTGTGACACAGGCAGCCTCTTGGACATTAACTGCATTTAATCACCCTCTCCCTTTCTGCGCAGGAAGCATTTCTTTCTTTTGATGCATCCCCAGGGACTAACATGGACTAACATAAAGAGAGCAGCCTGTTTTGACAGTTAAAATGGGACATTTTAGACTTACCTTTATACCATTCTTTATTATAAACTATTCATAGGATTCTGTGCAGATGTACTCTTAAAACAACACATTATTCCCTAAAGATTGTAGTAGAGGACTTTATCTTTAATTGATTCTATGTTATCTTATACTTATGTAGCACTATATTACACAATTGTGCCTGAAGAAAATTGGTAGATGTGGTCCATGTAAGCTTAAATTACCCAATCAGTCAGGTTCTAGCCATTTACCCAGGATGTAGTCAGAGCACTTTATAGATGCTTCTCGCCCCACTATGACACTTCCCTGACAGGAAAGGAGCAGGGTTTCCCCAACAAGGCTCCACATTCCAATACTCGCTGGTTCTGCATATAATTGTTTAAAGTCTTCCTGTGGTGTTATATGAAATACGTATTTGGGTGCTTTTTCAGCTTCTAAAGAGTGGGAAGAGGGAAAAGGTGAAATGATGTTTAGTAGCATTTCTTTTGGTTAATGATGTGATATAAAAAAGGAGCATGAAGTCTGGAGTAAGAAGCTAGATTTGAAATTGAATTCCAATTTTGTTACTTACTGCCCATGAGACTGGCACTTAATCTGAGTCTTGGTTTCCTCATCTGTAAAATGGTGATCATAATAATCAGCTCACAATTGTTAGCCAGTATAACAGAATATTCCATCACCACCAGAATCCCACATGTTACTCTCTTATAGCCACACCCACTTTCTTCCTACTACTTCCTTAACTCCTGGCAACCACTGTGTTCTATTTTTAATAATTCTGTCATTTTAAGATACAAATGGAATTATATGGTGTGACATTTTGGCACATTTTCACTCTGTTGTTGCACGCATCAATAGTGTCTTTTTATTTCTTAATAGTATTCTGTGGTATACCTGTATACAGTTTTTTTAAACCATTTACCCATCATCTGGATTGTTTCCAATTTGGGGCTATGATGATTAAAGCTGCTATAAACAGTCATGTACAGGTTTTGGGGTGGATATAGATCTTCATTTTGTTTATTCTTTAGGATGAATGACTAGAAGTGCAGTTGTGGATCACATAGTAGTTACAAGTTAAATTTTTAAAAAAATTTCTAAGCTTTTTTTAGATCGGCTATTCATTGCCACCAGCAGTGAATGAGTGATCTAGTTAATCTGCATCTATGTCATCATTCTGTATTGTCATGACTTTTTATTTTCTCTCTCCTGATAGGTATATAAAGATACCTCGTTGTAATTTTTTTATTAAATGGATAAATAGTAGTTTATGGGATACAATGTGTTTTGATCTATATATTCATTATAGAAAGTTTCAGTCAAGCCAACTGACATATTTTTCCATTTTCTGTAGCAGAATACTTGCAAATTGATCATTTTAAAAGAAAAGGAATGTATTCCATTTCTTACTGTTATGAAGACTGAGAGTGGAATCCTTGTCTTGTTCCAGATCTTAGAGGAACAACTTTACACTTTTTTACCTTTGAATATGATAGTATCTGTGGGCTTATCATAGATGGCCTTTATTGTGTTGAGGAGGCACATTCCTTCTATATTTGTTTTTAAGAATTTATAGCAGCCAGGCTCAGTGGCTCAGCCTGTAATCCCACGCTTTGGGAGGCTGAGGTGAGTGAATTGCTTGAGCCCGCGAGTTCGAGACCCTCCTGGGCAACTTGGCGAGACCTCATCTCTACAATAAATTAAAAAAAAAAAAAATTAGCTGGGTGGGGTAGTGCACCCCTGTAGTTCCAGCTACTTGGAAGGCTGAGGCGGAAGGATCGCCAGAGCGCAGCAGGTCAAGGCTGCGGTGGCCGGGAGCGTGCCACTGCACTCCGGTCTGGGCAACAGTGTGAGACTCCAAGTCAAAAAAAAAAAATTTATAGCATGAGTGAATGTTGAATTTTGACAATTTTTTTTTTTTTTTGGCATCTACTTGAGATACTTGTAGTTTTCACCCTTTACTCTTGCTGATATGGGCTATCACATTTATTAATTTACATGTGTTGAACCTTCTTTGCATTCCTGGAATAAATTCCACTTGATTATGGTGAATGCCCCTTTTAATGTGCTATTAACTTCAGTTTGCTAGAATTTGTTGAATATCTTTGTTATTTGTTTTCACAGGGGTTACTGGCCTATAGTTTTCTTTTTTTGTAGCATCCTTGTCTAGCTTTGGTATAAGGATAATACTAGCTTTATAAAATGAGTTTGGAAGTGTTCCTCTTCGGCGTTTTGCAAGAGTTTAAGAAGGATTGGTATTATTTCTTCTTGAAATGTTTGGTGGAAATTACCCATGAAGCCATCAGATCCTAGGCTTTTGTTGTTAGGAAACTTTTTATTATTGATTTAATCTCCTTAGTCATTATTGGTCTATTCAGGTTTTATATTTCTTCCTGACTCAGTCTTGGTAGGTTGTAGGTTTCTAGAAGTTGGCCTGTTTCTTTTAGGTTATTCAATTTGATTGATGCGTAGTTGTTGATAGTAGTCTTTTATGAGCTATTGTGTGAGGCGGAACCCCCAAAAAACAGAATTATTTTTTGAAGGATGGGCTCCTTGCACGCACAGGCTTCCCCTGCTAGGTAAGTGTTCTAGGAACTCATTGGCATCAGTGTATGAGATAGTGTTGTTAATGAGAGACTGTGTTCAGCTTCAGTGAGTTTTAAAAAGAATTTTTCAACATATTTGCCCAATTCATGATGGATGATTTACAAGCACATCTGCCTACACCACATTGAGTGTCAAACAGGTTTTACCCAAAACAACATGACCCTTGTGCCCCACCCTCCCTATTCACCTGATCTTGCACCAAGCAACTTTTTTTGTTTGTTTCCCTGGATGAAAAAGTCCTCAAAGGGAAAGAAAAATGGCAGAAACACTAAAAGGCATCCAAATTGACCATTTCAAAAACTATTTAAACAGTGGGAAAAGCATTATGATAGATGTACTGCAAAAAACCGAGTACTTTGAAGGTGACTGAAATTTAAACATGTAAGAATAAATACACATTTTTTGTAAATAAATTTTGGGTTTTTTGGGGTCCCCCCTCGTATTTCTGGAATGTCAGTTGTAATGTATCATTTTTTATTTTGGATTTTACTTATTTGGGATTTATCTTTGTTAGTTTATCTTTTCTTTATTAGTCTTACTAAATGTTTTTCAATTTTATCTTTTAAAAAAAAAATCTTTTAGTTTTGTTGATCTTTTCTATTGTTTTCCTAGTCTCTGTTTTGTTATTTTTGCTCTGATCTTTGTTATTTCCTTTATTCTGCTAAGTTTGAATTTATTTGTTCTTTTTCTAGTTCTCTAAGGTGTAACATCAGGTTGTTTATTTGAGGTCTTCTTTTTCTGAACTTCCTTCTTTGGACTGCTTTTGTTACATTCCATAAAATTGGCTGTTTTGTTTCTATTTAGGTTTGTCTTGCGATTTTTAATTGTCCTCTTTTAATTATTTATTTGATCTGTTGATTGTTCAGGAGCATGTTGTTTACTTTCCACATATTTGTGCATTTTCCAAGATTCATTTTTTTACTGATTTCTAGTTTCATGCCATTGTGATCAAAAAAGATATTTGATATGAGTTCAGTTTTCTTAAATTTGTTAAAATTTGTTATGTGACCTAACATATGATCTATGCTGAAGAATATTCCATATGCACTTGGGAA